GTTGGAAATTTCAGAAAATTTCCAAAGTAGCCCTGTAACAGCCCAGTCAGTCCCATAAGACTCCCAACTCCTGTTGATCCTAGCAGTGATGGCTTCTCAACTTAGGGAATGTATAAACACAGAAACACAAAATGAATACTGTACATGAACAAATGAATAAAATCCAGAACACTACATTTTCTTCCTACAGTACAGTATATCAAAATATGTCAATCCTCAAAAATGACCTTTTCAAAAGATGCATTGTTGCTGTTGCTGGACACCCCAAACTAATTTAACTCAGCACACAGTATTAATTACTACCAAACGTGTGCATGTTAAAATGTCACTGATGCACCTTGTGTGTTTGTGTTTTAAGCACGAGAGCCAGCCTACTGTTAAAGGGACTTTTTCATGTAAAACAGCCAAGCTGTTTGCCTATTGTGCAGCATGCAGACTATTTTCATCCAATCTGTACACGCTCCATTGCACATCCCTGTAAGCCTGTGCCAACTGAACAGCAGAAGTCCCCATATTGTATTTTGTAATAACAAAGCCAAAGAATATAACACAATCCCTCCAACAGCATCTCATTTCTATACAATAAAAGCCCTAGATGCTAACCTTGATATAATCATTGTTCTGCCACCCTTTTAAATTCATATAATTGTAGTAATTAATTACATATATTATACTGTGTGCTGCATCTTGAAAACAGACTTGCTTTACTAGCTAATGCAAATATACAGTAGATGTGGGTAAACAATAAAATATAAACATACACTACATGCTACAGTGTATATTCTATACATGTATCTAAATAATAAATAAACCCCCAGCCACAATGTTCCTTAATTTAGGGAAAATTTTAGTTGCAAGAGGATCATGTGAAAATGCAGATGGCATGTTATACTGTATACAGTATGTGAGCTAAAAGTGTTTTCAGGAGCAAAGAGGATTTTGTTGGAAGCTACATTAAGACTGCATCTGACAATACCGATAAGAAAACAGATCAAAGGCCAGAACAACCAAGAAAACTTTAAAATGCTTTTAGGAAAAAGCCAGTTTTACCATCTGTACATAAATATAAAAGAGATATTTGCTCAGACACCAAGAAAAGCACTTGCTGAACAAAAACTGTTAAAATCTAGCCCAAATCTCATTGAAAGACTAACAATTTATACAGTTAAAAATGTGAAGGAATCAGTGCTGATGTTAGTATGATAGATACTGTAGCTGGAATTCTACAAAATCTCTTTCAGCAATATGAAACAAAGTACTGAAATGCTGTTTTACATTTAAGGAAAAGTTAAAGATCATCATAATTAATTAAAACACTGATCTTGAAAATTATACTTTAGATATAGAAACTTAAATATAGAGGAATTATCAGATAAGTGCATCTAGAAAAATATTTTCTTTGTTCCTCCCCACTCTCCAATACAAAGAGATGGGACCTTCGGGGTTTATTTTGGTTGTCTTCTTGTTCTTGGTGCAATTAAACACTAAGAGTAGCTTTTATCAATATTTGTGGAAGAAACTGAATTTTGACATCAGGGTATAGTTTGCTCTACATTATTGAGCAGAGAGGAAAAATGCTTTTTACTTTAACATATGATGCAGAGTTGTACTTTTATGCTCATAACCATAATAAAGAAAAAATAAAAAAGTGCTCTAGTAATAAGCAGTTTGGCACTTGTTTTTGTTTTTTTTATTTTTCTCATCTAAATTGGGATTTCATTTTCTCTACTTCGTTCAGAGATCAAGACCATTTTGATTATTTTCATAGGAAACAGGCTCCATTTTGTGTCAGCAGTGTAATGTCTTTGCGTAAAAGGTAATATTTATTTTAATTAGTTTGATTTTAATGCTTAAAGAATAAACAGTGCACTGTATGTAATGATTATGTTTTTTACATCTGTTTAAAATAATGGATAAAGTGTCAAAACCCCAAGAAATATTTTTCTAAAATTTTTCAAACCATTTCAAAAAAGAAAAGTGACAAAAACATTAGTTCAACTCAACAACCTCAGCATCTTTTATATTTGCTGCAGTAAAAACGAGGTTTCATCAAAATATATTTGATTCTCTAAATGCCATTTCCACAATTCATTCATCATGCATTGCAAGTATTACATTATCCTAAAGGTCACAGCCATAACCTGTAACTTAAAACGTTTACTTAGCAGCAGATGGAAGTCTTCCTTACAGTATACAGTACAGTATATACTGTACCTAATTGTGATAGGATCTCATGTGTTCAAAATCCCAGTACTTTAATAAGTACTGAGAGAAAGAGAGAAAAAGAAAAGATTACAAATGCAAATAAAATCCCAAACACTAAATTTTCTTCCTATATAAAAATATGGCAATCCTCAAAAATGACTTTTTCAAAAGATACCTTGTTGTTGTTGCAGGACACCATAAACTTGGTTAACTCAGCACACAGTATTAATTATTATTACTAATTAACAAAAGCAAAAAAAAATACATTTCTTTACTACAGTGTTTCATAATATTAGTTTTCATTTTTTATATTTAGTCTTTTGAGAGACATGAACGGGATTCTCGCATATTTTCACATCACCACTGTCATTCCTAAGTAAAAAATCAAAAGATATAAAACTAGCCATTCTGAATAATGTCTAACAATGCATTTAATCCTGTGCTATTTTAATGATAATAAGGCTGATTCCTGGGCAGTACTCTGCTTAAGGGTATATTTAGTAAGGGGTTTAGGGAACAGACGATTAAGTACATACTGTAAGCCACTGAAATGTGGTATCACTCAATGGCATTTTTTGTAACATGTTGCTGTGTGTGTATGGAAATATGATGTACAAATCAAAACAACGAACAAGCAAAATACATAAAAGCTCAATCTGGCATTACTTTGAATGATACAGAAGCATGCTGCTTCTTGCACTAATTTCAGCCTGGTGTCTATTAACAGCTCTCATGCTCACCTATAAGGCCATGCATGGCTTGGCACCTCAGTACCTGTCTGAACCATTAACGCCCCACTCCCCACCTCGCAACCTTCGCTCTTCTAACTCTGGTCTCCTAACTGTCCCTCAAGCCCGTCTACACTCTACGGGCTTTCTCCTTCTCCTGTTGAGCCCCCAAGCTCTGGAACTCTCTCCCCAAGGAATCCAGGCTCAAAACCTTCTTCTTTAGAAGAGCCTTTACTTAACTGCTTCCACTCTTTACCCCTCTGCTCCTACTGTACTTAGTACCACCATCCACGGCTTCCTCTGTGTATTGTAACTGTGTTTTATTTTGTATATTGTTTTTTTTTTATTTATTGTTGTTGTCATTCTGAAAAGCGCTTTGAGAAGCCACCTCTAAAGGCGCTATATAAAATAAAGTTATTTATTAAATTAATTATTTATTACATTTTTTATTAAATAAAATTATGATTTATTATTATGACATCTGTAAATGAAACCTATTCCCGTGGCTATTCGCACCAATCCCGCAAGCACAATCAACGCTATAATCTTAGCCTGATGCTCCACAACCTGCTAGTTCATACACTGATCATTTACTTTTGGGTATAATTGAATTTAATAATGGCTCTGAAGTCTGAAACATATGACCACAGCTCTTGACAAATGGCTTCTTCTGTGACCTTTCTGGAGTCGTGTATTTGTGCCAGCGCCGCTTGATGAACTGCACAAGGCTTACACTCGGGAGTTTCCAAGGGTACCCAACAGCTTGGAAGCTCAAACCAGATACCGTGGAAACCTTCCAGACACGGGCCAGGACTTAAGAACATAAGAATGTTACAAACGAGACAAGGCCATTTGGCCCAGTTAGTAAGTTTGGTTGCTAGTGGCGACAGTACATGATCCAAGGATTTGAATTATCATCTACCCATCTGGAAGAAGACAGTGTATCCGTTGTTTTGACAACAATGCTGAGCATCTTATTCCAGACTCTCACATCACTGACAATCCATCTTGGTCCCTCCCTTCACGTTTCCTGAGTATGCAGAGACTCTAAAGACTCACTGTGGCTTCCCCTCTTTAAAATGCCTGACTGACCTACTTCCCTCCTAATGGTTCTGAACAGCCGGAGACAAGTTTAACTTGGGTTTACATATTTTATTACAGATAATTGACATTATTTCACACATCAACATTACTGGACCAGGGATTTCATCATTTAATTGGTTGTGTCCGCTATGCTCAAGAACCAAACCGTCAACATAATGACAACTGCACCACCATGAGGAGTGAAAAGAAGAAAAAAAACTCCGCTCACTAAAAAAGGAAGCAAAATAAGACACAGCTGTGAAGATTAAAAGATAAAATTAAAGAAGATTCCAGAAAGATTTAGAGAAAGTGCATGTGTGCCCCCCACATGTGAATACTTACAGTATGCCCTGTTAGAAGCAATAGTTAAGAAGAACAGTCTGGCAATTTTTGCACAAGAACAAACAGTAGATTGACTGGGTTTATGTCTTTAAAACTCACAAAAATAATGCTAAGCAAAGCAATTTGGACACACTGTGCAACCAATTCAGAGAGGGATTTTTTTTTGTTTACTTAAAAACGGTTTTTATATAGATCATTTGCCAGGAGTGGTAGCAGCTTAAATCTTACAGCACACTGCCATCTAGTGGATACTGCAAGAAAAACAGCTCTGCCAAGAAAGCACATCTTGCGTGATACAGCTCTTGGTAAATGTCACCATGCAAACTGTGTAACCTAGAAAGTGTAAAGTGTAAAAATACAAGCATTAGAACTCTTTAACATTTATATCAATAACCTGACAGGTTGATAATACCTATCAGACAACTTCTTCAGAATATTGTCTTATTGGCCACTTATTATGGAACAGTTATTGTTACAGGGTGCATGTGGTCACCTGGTAAAGTGGCCATTAGGGAACAAATCTGTCCAGCAGTGCTTCTAAGGGATGAAAGGGATGATCAGCATATCAGTAAAGCAGGGGGAAGAGAAAAGAGAAAATTTAAATCCTTACACCATACAGGGAAGACAGAAGCACTGATTTACCTGATCTTCGCTGGTAAAGGCCTTATGCATGACGTGGTAGAAGTGTACAAGGAAATCAGAATTGGGAAGAACATCCTGATGTTTGGTCATCATCTCGCAGATCAGCCTGTAGGCCTGGAGTTGCCCTTCTTTGAACTGAGGAGGCAGAGCTGTAGCCTTCAAAATGTGAGCATTTAAAGAAAAAAGTCAAAATTGATATCCAGTATATGTATCAAAAATCTAATTAATCTGAATTAAATGTTCAATTATTTCACTAACAAAATAATTTCAAGCAGAAAGTAGCACAAAAAGAGCAACTTTTCAGCAGATTGAGAACTAATGGATAATGGATACAAAATGGATCAAAAACAGCATGCAGATAAGGGATTAAAGCCCATATAGAGTTGATGCAATTAGCGGAGTACCACAGGGGTCTGCATTACAAACACTGCTCTTCTTAATTTCTATCAAGTTCATGGGTGACACCAAAGTGTGGATTAGCAAACACCGTAGAAGCAGCAAAGGAAATTCAAAATTCAAAATGAGCAGATGACACAGAATAGTAAAGTGCATGAAACGTGTTACATGTAGGAAGAAACAACAAACTATAAACACAAAATGGGGACAGCTGAGCTGGAAGAACAGTTTTAGGTACGATGGGGGGAACACATCAACAGGCAAACAGAATGCTAGGATACTTAGTTAAAAAGTAAAGAATTTAAAAAGGGATGTTATTCTAAAATCGTGCAGTGCACGAGGAAGACTTAATTTATAGTATTGTGTACAGTGTGAACAAAGAAGACCCTGTTGCTCTAGAATCAGCTCAGAAAAGAACGAGTCAGCTGACAAGCTCCCCCAAAAAACAAGACCTGATTCAAGTTCTCAAATCCTCGAAGGTACTGACAAAAGCACTAGAGAAACAACAATGAACACAAACCAGAGGTCACAAGTGGAAACTACGGTGGCATGTTTTTAAAACGGAGAACAGGAGGCACAAGTTTGAGAGAGCTATCCAGCATAGTGTCATAGTTGACACTACGGCATCTTTCAAGAAACACTCAGATGAGATCTAACAACCAAACAAAACAAAAGCTACATGGCCTGAGTGAACTCCTTCCATCTATAACCTTTTATATGTTAAATGTGTCCCCGATGCTAGATTTTCAATGGGAAAACTCCGATTAGTTTTACTGTCTCAGACATCAAATTACCTTGACCAAAAAAAGGAATAGTCTGTGTCAGTAATTCATCTTTACTTCTGTGCCACGAACTAGCCCTGCCCAAGCAAGACTAAGGCAGTACCCTGGCGTTTGGTGTAAAAGTCAGAGAGAATGAGAGTGACCCAGACTTTTTTCCCCATCCAACTAACTCTAATGCAGTTTTTATTCAAATAATTAGCACAAAAATGAGTAATCAATAATCTGGTAACAGCCCTAAAGTTTTTCAACACTAAAAGTCACATGTTCCTTCAATTCACTCAAATCCGGAGGTACTGTTATGCAATTGCAAAGAAATAAGTGGTTCAAAGAGGAAAAACAATAATCGGGGAATGCTAGGAATTCAGAAATATAATAATATACATATCTGAATTGCCTTGTTAGGGCACAGCTAAAACTATCAGCACAAGCACTGTGCATCTTACCTTAAATAACCAGGATGCAAACATCCTCAGTGGTGGAATAAGTACTGGTCGAGGAGGAGAAGACTGATTATCAACACTTATTCCCTGGTTGTCTCTGATCTAGAATAATAAACAATATGATTGGCAAATCACATTGATGAAATATTTCTATTCAGCCATTCATGTTTAATTGAACTGTGCAGAACGGCAGCTTAATATCAACATAATCTATTGGAAAATGCCCCTATTTTGATGCATAAACCCATTTTAATGCAGGCATGTGCAGGTGAATCAATTCTGCAGGAACTGAAATTCTGGGGAACATCTTAAATATAACAAATTACAATCTAGCTTTAAAAATGAGTTATGACCTCACAGATTTACACACAGATTCCTCACAGATTTAGTTGAAAACCATATTTTCTGTTAATTGACAAAAGCTAGTTCTTATAAGACCTGTTATGAAAAGACTGAAAAGTTAACATGGACTGTAGGTATCTGTGAGCAATGTTACCTTTGCCAGCTTGTGCCACAGCTCATAGAGATAGCAGAACACCTTGGCATGGATTTTGGGGCAGCGGATGCAGTTGACGTCTCCCAGAATTCCCAGAACTCTTCTCCACAGCACAGCTGCAGAGTCAGGATGCCAGCCAGTGAGACTGCCCCCAGCAATGATACTAATGTCATCAGCCAGGCACTCGCTGCTATCTGCAGAGTCACAGTGGAAATCAAACGTAGACGGTTTAATCTACATTTTGCTTTCATTTCCCCTGATGAAATACCAAATTACTTGTGCAATCTGTGATGAGCCAGAAGGAAACATTAAAAATTGGTGAGTTTTCTTTATAACACTAACAAGAACTCTGTTAAGCTACAAAGAAAAATCTCAGTGCTGAAACTGAATTAGGAATAGTGGTCTTTATCGGTGCTCAAGGGAAGCACTGCTGTTACAGGACACCTACAGTAAGCACCTAGATCATTCTTTTTTCTCTGTGAAAATCTTTGAATACAAACTCAAAAGGCAAGGTGTAATTTTTTTTAAGATATTGAAAAAAAAAAGCATTTTGAATTGCATTCACGTTGTTGACAGATCACAATGTCAAGAATGAACCAATCCATATCTTAATTTAACTTGTTTTTCAGGTTTCTGTTTTTACTACTGTGACAACTTGTAGGGATTACAAAACAGTATAACAAAGTTCATTGGCCTAAATATTGCACATGATTTTGCTATAGAATTCCTACACATCATTGCTTGCTAGATGTCATCATAAAGCTTAGAAGAATAACACAAAAAATGGAACTCTAGTTCCATTTCCATCTAAACTTTCTGCTCTTCAAGAATGAACATCTGTAAGCTGAAACATTTTAATAATGTCCACGAAAATGAGTAAAATGCATCTTATGCACATTTCCTGCACTCTTTTAAGAAGCATACAACTACTGTATAACAACCACCAATGAAATATTCAGGTCCTGAAATATAAAGCTCAAATAACCTATAAAAATGTATTTCTCTGTTTTTATCTGCCTTCCACAGTGTAGTCTTGGCTTGGATGCTATATTTTCTGGAACATAATATAGGAAACAGAAAACTGAACTGGGAAATAAAGCAAAGAAGTGTTGAAGTAAGGACAACTGTATGCATGATCACATTTACGAGTGCACAAGCCTGTGCAGTGGCCTAGTTGTGCATTAAATATTTTTCAACACTTTAAGTAAAGATTTTGCACATGATAGTGGAAGATAGTGCCCCCTAATGAAGTCTATGAGTGTTCAACCAAGCACACTCCTTAATTCTACCATCTTAGAAAGCTTTGTTATTTTTATTTATTTTTGAGGTTGCATCAACTAAGCTGACGATTTTCCCTTGGAAGAAAAACGAGATTAAATCTGACACTTGGGGCATTCTGTCAAGAAGCAGTAATGGCGCTAAACGTTTTCCCTCTTGTTTTCAAATTAAATGATAAAGACCACAATTCACCAGAACTCCACAGGTAACACACACAGGGTCTATATGGACTTATATTGAGGAAATCATGTAATGTTGGGGGGAGAGATTCTAGCAATAGCTCACCAGAGCACTAAATAAAGCAGCGCACATTGCGATCACAGCTGATAAATGAAAGGTAGGTTGATTTGCAACATAAAAGCTTCCACTTAATAATAATAACAGTGCACATAACAGAATGATTGGAGGGGTGTGGCACATCTCGCTAAATCACAGCACAGAAGCAGGCAGTCTCTCGTTTCATTTTGCTAACAGCCAAGCACATTCACCCAACTGCTTTAACACCCCACCAATAAGTGCTCCTTCCCAGGACAGTCAAGCAGAGAGAAATTCCACGGACAGATAAATCAAGACTTGGAAAGGGACAGGAAAGTACCCAGGTCCTCAGGCATGTGCAATACAGATTGGTGCACCGTCTCCTCCAGGAGTGGGGGGCAGTCCTTGCAGTCAGGGTGCGCTAGCAAAGCTGGTGAAGCAGAGGGGAGCTGGGGGTGGGAGGAGGGAGCAGAGTGGGGAGGAAGGGCACAGTCAGAACCTAAACAGGGAGGAAAAAAGAGCTCTGCTTAACAAGAACACCAAATATACAGGCATCCACCAGGACGTCTTTTTCAGTCATGAAAGCTCCGCTGAATCCTGTCTCCTCAACCGCAAAGTACAGCTCCCCTTTTGAGTGTGAATTCTGTTGCACTGGCCTTTTGTTTCGCAAATGAAACCATGGAAAGTATTAACCGCTAATATCACCAACCTATGAGTACAGGAGTCATGCAGTACTAAGCAAAAAAGAAAACATTCCTTTTTTTTCCCCGCATCAGTCTGTATTATGGAATCAAATTGTACCTTATCTAAAAGAAAATGGTAACATTTCTAACCTCGTAAAAGAAGTTTATATTCCTTAATATAAAAGGAATGCACATTTAATACAGGGATTTTCACAAATCAGATGCAAATATTGATGGAAGGGAAACGGGCTTCAGCATTGTAAGAAATGTAGATTTTTCACAGCAGAAAGGTTCAGAATGATCAATTGTCATTTAAAATAACTGCATTCAATGGGCACATTTCAGACTGTGTGTACTGCATAAATAAACAGAAGAGTGCTTTAAAAAACGCCATAAAGAGATGTATGGGCCTGTATTTAATAAGGCATGCTTTGAATGCAATTCCAGTAAGACAGGTGAAGGATATGGCCGTGACAGGAATAAACATCCCATGTTACCAGCTGCTGCTCCTTTCTCTATTCCCTAGCTCCCTGTCCGCAGTTATTTAAACACTCCTATTCAAAGCAGCACATTGCAAAAACCCCTGTTGTTTCCAAAGTGGAACACACTACCGGCACCTGGAGATCTTAACTGATCACATAACACAACGGACAGATAAGCAAAATGGAAAAACAATAAAGGTTACATGAACCCAAGCTGCTACTTCACCAGCCCGCCAATCACAGCAGAGGAGTAGGCAGACATCTCATGTCGGGTTGCAAGTGAACAAACAAAGGAAAGCACCGGTAATTTCTCAAAAGTATGTAAAAGCACCAAAATATCTGAATCAACCTCAACACTAATGTAACATAATAAGTGCACTGATTACTAGCCTTAAAAGACACTGTGCCAACAGGCACTGTAGTAAATCATAAAACTATAAATAAGCCCAGCCACTCTATTCCTTTATAAATATCCTTAGTAATAAATAAGAACATAAGATAAACTTTATTGTCCCCTGGGGTAACATTTTTATGGACATACAGTGCTTCTGTACATCTGAATACATCACAAAACATTACACATTGCATCTATTGTACATGCAGAAAATAGTTTGTTATGGCATAAAATAATAAAGCTGAAAAGACCAAATCAAAAAGATTTGAACACTTTTATATCATGTGAAAAAAGGAGTACAGTGTGTCGCACCCTGAGAGCACACAGCATTCTTGGGATCACAGAACTGGTGAAACCCAGGGATGACTCCAAGTATTCTAATATGTATATTGATCAAATTTAAACTGATCAGCTGATGGTCAGAGTGTTGATACTGTATATGTAACAGTAACACAAGAAACATCATCAACTAGACAGGGCTACTCAAGTTGTAGCTCTTCTAGTTCACTAAATCAGTAGTTTGACGCAATCGGAGCCGTAACTGATATATTGACTCTGCTAATTTTCAAAAATAGGCAGAAGGCAAATACCACTTTCTACTAACTGAAGTGTTTATTCACTGGAATCACACTGTAATCAGATTAAAGAAAGTAAGGCCAAATCTCATTCCAGCAAAACTAAATGCTGTGGAAACTAAACTCTTGTAATCTGAAAGGGAACATTACATCTTCTCCTAGTTACCACCATAAGACAGGAGTATCAACGTCAAACTGCAAGATGTGAATGACGAAAAACAGGGATCGACAAAGATAATCTGCCCAAGGAATTTTCATGGGATTCAAAACAACGCCACTTACTCTTACACACAAGTGTACAGGTTATTAAGTACAATTTAGTCCAGTATGAGACAGGGGCCAGTAGAGGAAAAATCAAACTGAAGAGAATTAGTATGATCATTTTTAAGGATAAAACATTTCACTAGTTACTTGGAAAGGTACCCCAATCTATTAAAATCTGTCACAGATTTTGTAAACATTAAAACCAGCTAACAGCTCTGTGTAAGAATTTCAACACTGAGACATAAAACTATCTAAACTAACTAAACTTAACTATCAGTATGTTTACAGGTAGAATCATGTCTGTCAGTGAAATATTCAATGGCAGCAGAACACTTCAGTTAATTTTCCATCCCAAAAGTATGCTATGATTGTTTAAAAGACAGTAAAAAAAGAAGTGTATTCGTCAGTATCATCAAAGGTAATAGAATAGTGCCTACATGAAGCGAGATACTGTAGGATATTCTACACATTCTTAATGTTAAGAAAGACAGAAGTGTTGGACAAGAGGGGTGCTTGTCTGAGGAGTTCTGATGAAATCATAGCTGGGAGAGACATGTTAGAAAACTAAACCATATACTCTGGGTATAGAAAATCACCACCCCCTTTCAAAATTGTTGCCCTCAATCCCAAAAAGAAGACAAAATCAGACTTTTACCAGTTTCATTTTCAAATTGTACCTTGCAATATCCAAGTGAAAAAAGAAAGCAAAATTTCGCAATAAAAAATAAAAAAGTAGAATAACTGGGTTGGATAAGAGAACACCCCCCTGATATCATTGTCACATGCACACAATGTCCACTCGTTGCCATAAAGGCCCTGTTCAAAGTTGCCATCGGCCTCTTGGTAGCGTCTCTGCTCAGTCTCCTTCTTGCTCGATCATCCGGTTTGGAGGGATGGCCTGATCTAGGCAAGGTCTGGGTGGTGCCAAACGCCTTCCACTTCTTAATGGTGGTCTTGACTGTTCTCCATGGGATTCTTAAAGCCTTTGAAATCGTTTTATACCCAACTCCTGATTTGTGCCTTTCCA